TTAAGGCCCCAGGCTAGAAACCAAGGAATGGTGAGTTCTAATTCTGCCTTAGGCATGAAAGGTAGGTGGGTGAATTTGGGCCAGTCATTCTTTCTCAGTGCAAAATGTCAGGGTCAGGTGACAAACCAGTCAGTCAATTCCTGTCACAACCAATGGATCAATATTTGGTTGATCCGAAAAAAATCAGACCCTGCACTTCGATGAAAACGGAAGGAAGATACACATAAGCATATGCATACCAACACACATGCACACATAGATACATAGATATTTATTTAGAGAATTTATATCACCGCTCTCTTGCTTTCTGTGACTCTATGCAGCTTACAAAAACAAAAAAAATATAAAAAATATAAAAATATAAAATATATAAAAAGAGTAAAAACAATATCCCCACCATCCCCAGGGCAACAACCAGCAATCAAACAAGCCACTTGATCAGCAAAACCAGGTCTTTGGAGGCCTTGTGAAATACAGACACACACAGAGGGAGAGAGGGAGAAAGAGGGAGAGAGAGAGAGAGAGGGAGAGGGAGAGAGAGAGAAGCCACAAGTTTTAAAAACCAGTAGGATGATGTTACAAAGTTGGGTAATCAATCTTCTGCAAGCAAACGATCAAGTTCAAGAGCACCAAGGACATCACAGATTTTCCTCTACTAGGCACAAACATGATCAATGCGGTGATGAAATTTCCCACAGTTAGCTCCTGAAACAGCAATGTGCTATACACCTATACAATATACTGAAGAACCAATGTTACCATTTTCAAATCATATTGTTAGTGCTACAACAAGCTAAAGGAAGACAGACATTAAAGTCCACATTTTTTTTCTTGCAAAGTAAAAATTGCACTTTGGCAGAGAAAACAAAGATAATCCTTGTGCACACAGCTTGACATAGAATTCATTTTTCTGAAAGAACATTTCTATATTTAATGGTTTTTTATATTTAGCTTTCAGTATGGAGCTCATATTCATAATGTTTGCTCTGCTCATTATTTTGCTTTAATTATAATGTACTTTTTAAAGAAAACATTACCTTGTAAGATAAAAAGAAAAAAAATCCATATCTTATTTTCTCATTCTATAGCATACAAAGGAAGCATTAAAAGACTGGCTTTAAAATAAGCACAATTGTTTTAACTATTTCTCCTGGTCAAGTAGAGTATACTGTATATAGGAATACACAATTATCATACTCATTCAAGGACTTCTGAATGAACTTTATCAGAGTTCAAGGAGTGTTTCTCAAAAGCATACATTGTTCAACAGGAAAGAAAATGGAAAAGATCAGGATGTTGTATATTAGGATTATGCCATTTTTGCCCATTTTGCTCAGAACAGAGGTACCTATTCTGATGATTCTTTTTGTCTGTATGCTGTATGCTGATGCACCGTTTAAGGCGAGTCAGTTAACCGTAAGTGCATCATTTATTTCCATCGCTATATCATATGAAAAAATGGAGATTGATGGATCAAACATGGTCATTCAAACAGCGACAAATGATTATAGAAAGTTTTCATAACAAAAAAAACAGCTCTACAGACCTGCAAGTGCTGCAAAAATGACAAATCACAGTAATTCCCTGTGTGCTTGTTCAATCTCTTTTTCTGCTAAGTTCTTTAATGCTAGATTTATCATTTATTTTTCATTTCATGTGTTTCTCTTCAATGAATGCAAGAAATGACCTCTTATTCTTACCAAACACTGTCATGCTTGAACATTTACATGACAATAAACACATCTTTATAGGTCCACTCTTCCTTTACATAGTCTCTACAAGAGTTGAGTCATGGTTCTGAATATAACCTGTAGAAATCTTAACACGCATTTATCTCCCCAACAAAATTTGCTTTCCACTTGCTAACAGAAGGATCAAACTAAATCATCTCTTAATAGCCTTGAGGTTACTGCCATACTTCAGAATAATCAGGAGGATTCTCATTACTCAGTGTTATGTCCCAAAAAACTGGACATACAACAATTTGAATAGGAGGACTCCTATTTGACATTTTGAAGTTAGACTTTAGAGTACCAAAGAATTTCAGCCAAGGTTTAATTTAGATTGCAATCATATATACAAGTGAAAGTCCCATTTAATTTTATTTATGCAGAGAACCAGGCTCCTTGTTTAATAAGGATAGATTTTCATCCATATGTATTTATAAATAAACATTACTGAGAATAACATATGGCTGAGCATATAGGATTGTGCTCTAAATACAAATCCACATATTAGTTTAATTCTGATATATGTCAGATTCATTTGTGAAGCTGTTTTTGTTTAGCTTCTCAACTGTGTACATTTTTTTAAAGCAAAAAAAAATATTTATCCTAGTGCTTGCATTTTTCTGCATACTTTTTCTAATCTAATCATTTAATATTTTTCTTCATTACTTACTTCACATTTTTTCTCTCATAAATTATATTTATTTTAAAAAAAACCAGGACATGTGATCCTGAACACATGGGGTTTTTTTACATTCTTTTAACTAATACAAATAGTTTGTATGATTTTTTTTAGTTGAGAGTGCCGTTAAATGTTGAAGAAAATGATTTAGGTACATAATGATTCTTCTGTACGTTTAGAAGTTTGAAGATTGGATCAATTTTCCTAAAGAATATGTACCATGGCAAAATAATGCCCTTCATGGGATATCCCAGGGGTAGGCAACCTTGGCTCTTTTATGATTCGTGGACTTCAACTCCCAGAATTCCTGAGCCAGCATGGAATTCTGGGAGTTGAAGTCCACGAGTCATAAAAGAGCCAAGGTTGCCTACCCCTGGGATATACCATTGAGAGATAGCTGAGGTGGCTGACATTAGGAAATCCTACCAGTGGCGGGAAATACTTAGACTAACAGAAAGCACTGAGCCATTGATCACAGTAGTGCAAAAACAAGCACTAAGCTTGGAGCAGAGGTCTATCATACTAGACAGGACTCAAGGTGCAGACTGTGCAGAGAGACCTCAGAGGCACATAGTGGCAGGTTGTAAGATGCAGGCAGGAACATCATAAGTGGCACAACCAAGTAGCAGGCATTGTGTACAGGAACAATGTAAGGGCTAGAACCTCCCAAGTCAAGAAGGGAGATGTCACAGAAGTTTGTGTAGAATAAGAAGGTCAAGAGCCTGTGCAACTTCCAGATCGAGACAGACAGGCAGGTACTGGCCAGTCAACCAAATATCAAGGCAGTAGACAAAGATCAAACAATAGCAGTGATGATAAATGTAGTTGTGCCAAGTGACAGGAATAAACATGAGAAACTGCAGAAATTCTAAGGCCTGAAGAAGGAACTAGAGGGGATGCAGAAAGCAAAGATCAAGTGGCTGCAGAGCTGGTAGGAGCACTCGGGGCTGTGGCTCCTAAGCTGGGAGAGTGGCTCCAGCAGATCCCAGGAACCACATCAAAGCTCTCTGTCCAGAAGAGTGTGGTTCTAGAAACAGCTAAGATCTTGCACAAAACCCTCAAATTCCCAGGCCTCTGGTGGAGAACCTGAGATGGAGGAAGACACACACCACCCATAGGGATGAGAAAGGAAATTTTAAAATACTTTTGATCCTTTTCTTCTCTTCCTGTTCATTCCTGCTGTTTTTTGTATGTATGTATTTTAGTGCTTTGTCTAATAAAAGAATTTATAATCAGAATTAAAAATACATAATATATATTAATTGATATATTATATATTATTAGTATTTTAATATGCACTTGAATCCTTTTTAGACTTTAAAAACTACATCACAAATGTAGATAAGCATGAAAATCAAAAGGTAGTTAATATGTCTGAGAATTCTCCAAAATCCTTTGGAAAAGGTTGGTTGCATCTTATGAGAGCACAACCTTTATTTGCTATTCATTAAATCACCACTTTTTTTTAAAAAAAAAAAGTTTTTATTAATTTTTTCAAATAAACATATGAGCAAATAATACAAATATGGTGCATTTCATTAGAAAAACAAACACATAAAAAACCTACTCATTAGGTATTCAGAAATAGTCGGCGGTCCCCCCCCGCATCCACACTCCCTCCACCTTCCTACCTACTTCCCTCTTCCTTCCTCCCCCTCTTGACCACTAGCACTTTTTAAACCTTTTTTATTTTCAATTTTTTTTGCTCTTTAATAACACAATCTGAAAAAAAAAAGAATTTTTGTGTTAATGAATACCTGAGAAACAACAAATGAGCAATTGAATGAGTTTTGAAGCACTTCTTTCAAATCAGTTTAGAAGGGTTCATAGCTCAAATAATTATATTCTGATCTGAACATCAGCTAGAGATAGTTCATATTACAATGGCTTAAGATTTAATTCCTTGAGCATCCTTAGTTCTAAAGTAGGATCATACATCAACAATATAGGTCAGAACTGGATAAATATAGCAACTATTTTTAAATAATAATTCTAATATAAAGTGGCCTTAAATAATAATTCTAATATAAAGTGGCCTTTTATTTTATTTTACAGTAGATATTAGAAAATGTAAACTACTGAGCAAAGGAAATAATTTCAATGAATGGCATACTGTTAAGAATATTGAACAATATATTCAACAAAGTGAACAATGTAACTGCAACATCTGAATTCCTTAAAAGGGAGCCCAAACTAATAATTCCTTGCTTAGACGTTGTCCTTTCTATTCTACCTAACTCAGCAACCAATGCACAGAATTGCTGTAGAACCCTTTCCATTGTTTATAACTTCTCATGCCTCCATTTTGCCCCAAAGAACATGATGTCTGCTTGACACTTATATAGTATAATTGCAGAGCTTTTATTTGGACTTCTAAAAAAATGTTACGATTGTCTTACATGTTTGAAAATATTTTGTACCAGTTTTCAAATAAAAATAAAAACTGTCCTGTGTAAAATCAATTTTGCCTAGAGTTAAAACTCCATAGCGAAAATAATGCACAGCTTTTTTCCACTAGAAGACCATCTTGAAAAACCCTTCCCCTCCCACAAAGCTATTAGCTATTAAATGAAACTTGATTATATACGTACGGGTGCAGCCTCCTTCCTCAAAATCGTAAAATCCATGAGCACAATGGTCACATTTCTTTCCTCCAACACCTGGTTGGCAGCGGCACTGTCCGGTTTCATCGCAGTCAAATGATTTCGATCCAAATGAATTACAATTGCAAGGGACACATCCTCTTGATGACTGCACACCAAAGGTACCAGACTGTCATAGTAGAGACATAATATCAGTTAGCAGAAATAAAAACAAGGGGATAGAAAAGAGGAAGGAACATACAGATTCGAAAAACTACATAAAGGTAGAAAGGAATGATTTTACTTTTTTCTAACTCAGACCACCAAAATGAATTAGAACGGATAAATACTGTCATTTTCACTTGTAGCCAAATGACGCTATTACATTACCCAGATTCATATTTTAGATGTTTTAAAGTTGTATACGTTCAGCCTAAAATACATTTGTAAATGTTCAAATGTGAAATTCAAATAAATCCCTTTTGAATTTTATGAACTCAAATATGTACATGAAGACTCATTAATTCATTTTTGTTAAATAGCACAATGCAAAAGCACATCTTTTTTAAAAAAAATCTTTTCTGTTACAAGAAAAACATTTTACAAAGATACACCTGTATCTTATATAAAACTTTGCCATTAAGGAGTTTGCAATAGCTCCTTGAGCTACCATTACAAGAACTTGATCAAAGCATAAAAATATACACCAGTATACTTGATACCATTATTCTGCCTTAATTATGGATCTGCTTGGCCCAGTGGTGGGATTCATTTTGGCAAAACCGGTAGCTAATTTTTTGTTGGCCAGGCCCAGAACGGACTTCCAGAAGTGGCATCCACACAGAGAACCGGTTGTTCACATATTTGAATCCCACCACTGGCTTGGCCTCTTGATCATCTAGTAAAGCCTGAATTTGTTTCTTGATGGGAAGCCAGGTTAAAACAATAAACATGCACATTTTATAGACATTTCTTCTTTGGGTGTACTGGGATGATTGCTATATTTAGCAATGAGAGGAAAAGCTTCATTTATGCAATTAAGGTTTAATTAAATACTCCTATCCTGTTATGTTACCCTCTTATCTCTTCTCATGATGCAGAAAAAGGCAAGAGAGAGAGAGAGAGAGAGACAGAGAGAGAGAGAGACACAGAGAGACAGAGACAGAGACAGAGGTAAAAAAAACTCCAAACCAAAGTTGAAATCCCTCAAGAGTAATTCAGAATTACTCAATGAAGCCAGGCATAGTCAGCATGCAGTTTTAAATAAATAGTTGGATGATAAATCCTGTTTAAAGGCTGAAAATAATAAAATAAATATCCTTTTAGAATAAAATTATTTGCTACAAGATTCTGATTCCCCTTGTGTGAATTTCCTTTTCAAATGAACCAATAATCCTAGAGGTTCACATACTTGTGCCACTATATTTATGCAGAAATGTTGAAAATGTTGAAAATCCATTTTTTTAAATACCTCTGTATCTGTTAACTAAAATTATGTTTTATCCGCTGTGTTCACATGAAGGTAGTAATAATCTAATACATTTCTTCTTCTGTTTAACACAGGTAGTCCTAGACTTACAACAGTTAATTTAGTGACTGTTCAAAGTTACAAGGGCACTGAAAAAAGCGACTTATCATTGTTTTTTTTACACTTACAACTGTCACATGATCAAAATTTGGACACTTGGCAACTGGTTCATATTTATGACGGTTGCAGTGTCCCGGGCTCACGTGATCAACTTTTGCAACAGTGGGGAAGCCAGATTCACTTAACAACTATGTTATTAACTTAACAACTGGAGTGATTCACTTAACAACTGTGGCAAAAGATGATCATAAAATGGGACAACATTCACTTAACAAATGTCTCCCTTAGCAACAAAAATTTTGGGCTCAATTGTGAGAGTAAGTTGAAGATTACCTATTTTAGGGATTCTTACATTCAAAAGAAGCTCGGTTGCAATGATGAATTCCAAGAATTCCAAGAAGTTTTGAAACTACAGCTAGAATAGCAGGTTCTCTCCATCCAACACATGCTTGAACAGGGGGCTGGATTAGAAGACCTCCAAGGTCTATTCTATTCTATTCTATTCTATTCTATTCTATTCTATTCTATTTTATTCTATTCTATTCTATTCTATTCTATTCTATTCTATTCTATTCTATTCTATTCTATTCTATTCTATTCTATTCTACAACCAGCATCTTCGAAAGTGAGGAGAGTTTTAAAAAGAGTTTCACTGTTTAAGGCAGCAAGACCTGCCATTCAAAGTAAAGGACAAAGGAATTCCCTTGGGTACCTATAAATTCTTGGTTTGGTATAAAGTAGCTCAAGAGATTGTGGCCCATTGACAAGAAATTCAATGTTTCTTTTAACACACATCCTGCTATGCCAGAAATATTGTTATTTCTGGCTTTAGCTCCCTATGCTTTTGAGCATCACTGCAAGTGCTTTAAAAAATATCATGCAGGAAAGCATATAAATGCATTTGTCAGTGAACAACCATGTCTGTGCATATTACTTGTAGCAAAATGTCAGCAAAAGCAAGGGTTGTCTAAGGGAATCACAAGAATCTGCCTATATCTATGTACTGCAGGGTCAGATCAGGTCAGAGAGTTCATTTAGGGTTCATCAGATTCCCTTTTCCGCATCTCTTGAATTCTGCTACAATATTTTAACACGAAAAATGTAAAATTAAATGGAAAGCTGACGAGCTGCACAACAAAGCACCTGTCTCTATCACGTTTTACTTACAAGAACATCAAGGCTCTATAGCAGTGTTTCTCAACTTTGTCAACTATCTGGGGAATTCTGGGAATTGAAGTCCACACATCTTCACATTGCCAAGACTGAGAAACAACACTGCTCCAAAGCACACTTTTGGGAGCATCTTACCAATTTGTGTGGTAATAAAGTGGAAACCATTTCGTTATAATGTGTCCAATTTCTCAAAAGGAAGCTATTCCTCATTCATATCTTTTAAAGAAAGAATTGAAATTATATTGGATTACTTGAGAAAAGTTTTTTTATTCCTTTAAGTATTAATGGTGTTAATTTTATGACTAAACTTGGCTATACTGTATATTAATTTAAAAAGTACTGTTGTGATGTGTTTGTAGAAATAATTTCTTAAGCATTTGGGTGAAGGGCTCTATCCCAGAAGATTATCATTCCATCATTATAATTTTCTCAGCCTTGTTTTGAAAGTTGACAGGACAGCGTTTTGGGTAGGTTGTTAATGTAGAACTTCCCAGCACAAACGCATGCCAAAATGCAAGGCATGCGGAATGTATCATGTTTTATTACCAAATCAGAAGACTTGAAAGCACCCCTTGGACACCCACTTGCAGTGGGAGAGCCCCATCTTTGATGGGGTGCTTTCGTTTGTTGAGAGCTTGACGGCTTCCCTTTCCGGATATACACCTGCCTGCTCAGTTCACATCGTTTACCAGCAAATCCAGATTTACAAATACATCTCCCTGATACATCACAGTTCAAGGACATAGATCCTACTGGATTGCAGCCACATGGAATGCAGAACTGCTTTTCTGGAGCCCAAAAGTAAGTGGACTTTTGAAGAGAAAGAAGGGAGGAAAACAAGTTAAGAAGTGAATGTACAAGAAATATCAGAGCAGTAGATAACTTGAGAATAAAAGCAAGAAATACCAAAGCATTCATATTTGCAGAGCTAAATCTCAGGGCAAACCATATGACTATTATAGCATGTTTTCTATACTTCAAGCCTTCATTTTTATTTATAAAACCAAGCAAATGATGCTATGAATAATTTCCAGTAAGATTTTTTTTTCTTTTACATCACATGCAATACAGTAAATAATTTGGCAAATATTAGCAAGAATTCTGGAAATCATATTTTTGCTGCTTAAAAAAATTCTGGAATATTGATCGATTCTTCCTCGCACTTCCAGCTGTTTCAGTTTTAAACAACCATACAGGAGATGGGGAGAAATGTCTAATAGAAATCAACATTGATATTCCCTAAAAGTCTCATGCTTTATAATTACGCTCTAATTTCATAATTACTCTCTAAACTAATTACCTGTTTATTAGCTTCAGGATATACTTGGTTGTTTTCTGTAGCTATTTTACATTCTATTCTAAATGCTTCAAGGCCTAATATAAAGAGCTTTAAGCATTTATATTATCATGAGAAAAATATATAAGTACTGTATATCATTATGATCAAGATGCATGAGTTCTAGGCATCTTCATTGATAAGAAGTATATCAGTAATTTAATGTTAAACACTTAATGAACTTTGTGCTCATCACTGTATTGTCAGGATTCAGAAAGGCATTGGAGTTATTCCTTATTCTTATTTCCTTATTTATTCTCCATTTTTGTATCTGGGAAAAGCAGATTAGATCAAATGATACATTTTATATAGTATAAATAGTATATAGTAAAATAGTAAAATCTTCTCAGCAAATATTTCCTAAGAGCATCAGATGAAAGCTGAGGCATGTAAATACATTTTATATATACATAGAGATATATAGCATTTTATATATATTTATATATCAACACAGACATCTCCATGGCACAGTTCTGCTGAAAGTACAAATATCTGCTTTTAACTCATATCACAGGTCAACGGCTGGAGAATCTGGGATGCTCACCATTGTTTATATGGTTAATTACAATACATGGAAAGGCTGTTGCTATAAAGGAAATATACATAAGATTGCATAGTTAGCATTTCCCTCCATCATAGTGCATTATGGATGAATGATGTTCCATCACACCACAGAAAAAAAAGATATCTGTCCGTTTAGCTACTTGAACATTTTAAAAACAAGTGAACTCTTATTCAATATTTTTAATGAAAATTATTCCTTGCCATTTTGAGAGCATAAATAAAATAAGCATGATATATTTATTTTGTTTTAGATTCTAAAAGTGGATAGATTTTGTGTCCAAAAATAACATAATTTATTTAGCAAACAGAATTGTTCCAGAAACACAATGAAGGCTAAGATTTTAAGACTGAAGAGAAAGTCACATAACATAACTTGCTATGTATCTAAAAATACCAATGGCATTTTATGGATATAGAAAAGTTCTTCTATTCCATAAATGATGGGAAATAGAACAACTAAGTCTAGATCAGATTCTGGTGTCTTACCTTACACTGATTACACTGACGTCCCAGAACATTGGGCTTGCAATGACATTGTCCAGTCTTAGAGTCACAGACTTCTGAAAATGAGCCATTGATATTGCAGCTGCAGGCTTGAGGTAGACAAGAACAAGTTCGATTGAGCTGATAATGAACATCCATAGCACAAATATGTATAGAACTGTATACATAAACATTTTCTGGCAATCTTTTGCAAGAGTTTAGTCATCTAGCTCCTGTAACATTTAAAATTATCTTACACTGATGAACAGAAGGCTAGAAAAGATCAACTTCTGGGGCAGGGGATGTTCATAAATTACAAATCAATTCCTGATTTATAATTTACAGCCTGTCATCCAGCTAATCTCCACAGTTCTTATACAAGTAAAAGACTCTAGAATACTTAGCAAGGGAATAAAAAGGAACATTCTTTTCTCCCATTTATCATCTTTTAAAAGCTGAAGAAGCAGAACTAACTCATAAAGACACAATTCTTTATTTATCGGTAGTTTCCCAGTTATATAAAAAAAAACCCTAACAAATTAAGTCAATAATCTGATGTCTACACAAACTAATGACTCCTTTGTTTCAGACCCTATGATGGCCTTATACAACTTGTAATTTACTCAGTTTAATAAAGCACCCACCATTTGTGGCAGCCCAACATATGTTCTTGTTTTTCCTGAATTCGAGCGGAAGAAGAGAGGACTGTCAAATAATATTAAAGCGCAAATATGTTTTTCAATGTCAGCATTTGTAAGATGTTTGTACTTCAGCTCCCAGAATTCCCCAACCATTATGGATGATGGTTGGGGAATTCTGGGAGCTGAAGTACAAACATCTTAAAATAGCTGAAGTTGAAAAATGCTAGTGCAGTACTTTTACATTCATGGTGGCAAATGACAATTTGTATTAGCCTGATCTATGGATTTCCTCTTCAGTTCAAAAAACTGTAAAATATTTCAGTTTTTTTAAAAGTATTAAATGGAGCATAAAGACCTTTCAGGTTCACTAAGACCTTTCCACCCTACTTTTTGTCCCTTGAGTAGGTCTAGTTCTCAGAATAAGGTTCTTCCTTATTCCTTATCTCATTCCAAATGTTACATATGCATATTATAAGAGACAGTGTTTCTTAAAATGAATCCCAAAAATATTATCCCCTTAAAAAAACTGACACTTGAAAATTGGCAAAAAAAAAAAGGCTTTTTTTGTACAGATAACATAATATATCAGTCAGCCAGGATGTGGAATCAGGATGTTGGTTATTTATAGATCATTTTCCTGATGGGTTTATCCATGAGTATATATGATAATACTTGTTTAAATTACCATATATTCCATATATACTTGCAAATAAGCCCATGCATGGATAAAATGACCACTGAATTTTGAACCAAAGTTCCATGAAAAATGGATAATCCATACATTACCTAATGATAAGTCAACTGGCAAAATTAAAGCTACTTGTACATCTGTAACTGTATCTGTAAAACAACTCCTTATACATCTGAATCTGTGAAAAATGTTGAGTACTTTGATCGTGACTCAAGAAGCTTTATGCAATGAAGGCAATTACAATTCCATCTACAGTTTGATTTTTCAAATTCAGGGTTTTAATGTTAGTATCTTTAACAAATACGTCATCAGACATGCTAGTGAATTCTTAATAAACTCTTATTTTAGTCTGAATGTGTTAGAATGTTGTTTGTGCTCAGAACCTAAGCAGAGTCAGACTTGTTTGGGAGTTGGATGACCCCTACCCCCCAAATATCTTAAGAGCTGTAGACTAGAGACAGAGACAATGAAGAACATAACACACACTACTTGTCTACATGCTAGGAAATGCATGGATATAAAATGGGTATTTTAATTATGGAAACAGGAATGAGGAATAGGAGTGTTTTTGCAACAGATCTGCAACTTTGCAGAAATGGTCAGGAGCAAACATGAGGGAAGAGGTGACAAAAGAACACAGCAAGAGAGCTCATGTTCAGACAACAGTTGTGGTTGCAAGAATGATTTATTTATTTATTTATTATTTAAATTTATATACCGCCCTATCTCCCTTACGGGACTCAGGATGGTGAACAGGCAATAATAAAAATCACAATAAATATTAAATAAAAAGCCTGCTCTAAAACACCCCATATAAAAATCCCTACCAAAACACAATCAGAACTACGCCAGGCCGGCCGCATGGAATAGATGGGTTTTCAAGGCTCGGTGAAAGAGGCGCAGGTCCGTAGTTGTACGTAGGTCGGGGGGGGGTAGGTCATTCCAGAGGGCAGGAGCTGCCACAGAGAAGGCTCTCCCCCTGGGGATCGCCAGCTGGCATTGACTGGCTGACAGCACCCTAAGGAGGCCCTCTCTGTGGGAGCGGACTGGTCGAAGGGAGGTATTTGGTAGGAGGCGGTCTTGCAAATACCTAGGTCCATTGCTATGGAGCGCTTTAAAGGTTGTTACTAACACCTTGAAGCGCACCCAGAAGGCCACAGGCAGCCAGTGCAGCTCGCGCAGGAGAGATGTTACATGGGAGTATCTAGAGGCCCCCAAAATCCCCCACGCGGCTGATCAAGGGAAAACTTAATGATGGACAAATGAGACTATCACAGAAACAAATATAGACAAAGGTGAGTATCTCTAGGGTTTTGTTTTATTTTCTAGGCTTTATTTATTTATTTCCACAATATGTAAAACTTTAAAAGATAACTGAAAAAAGGAATTGATTTCATAGAAGTCATATCGGGGAGTGTCATTCTCAATCATTTTGTCTGTTACAGAACTTCACAACTGTTTATTGAGAGCATGTGATCAGCAAATTGCTCCGAATTTCCTGCTATCTTCTGAGCCCTTTTATAGACTAGCCAAAAACTACAGTTCAGGCAAGGATTAGTGGTACTTTATTTTTCAAATTCAATTTCATCTAGTTTCCCATTTTTAAAATTTAACTTCATTCTACCCACTTATACATTAGAATGTGATTGGTTTAAAGTAATTTTTAAATATTTTTATTGCATCGTCTATACTAGTAAATCATGCTGTTCCCTGCAAAACCTTTAGCATTCAATTTTTCACTTCCTGGCAAAACATTTAAAAGCAGTGAAGTGGTTCCATCCTCTCAAAGATTTGGCACCAATACTTAAGTTTATCCTAAATCACCTAGGATCGCTTCCAAAGCAGGCATGCTAATCTTTGAAAGGAATTACTCACTTCAAATACCAGTTTTACACTATTGCAATAATCAGAGATATTGCCTAAATTATTTTTATAGCCTTAGTGACAATATATTTCCAACTAGTTTAGCAATGTTTATTTCACACTAGGATACCCCAGCTCCTCAACCTCTAGCATACAGTAGAAACATGACATATAACAGAATACATGACACCTCTCTTCCTCACAAAGATATACTTTAATTGTGATTAATTTTATGGGGGTGATTCATTCCCAAACGCTTTCTAAAAATAGAGGTAGCCAGCTTTTATAAATGTGCGAACATATATTCATGTATAATGTTTTATTTGTGTGGGTTTTTTTTAACTTCCTTTGTCTTATTGCAGGGGACACTTCCAAAAAGGGATTCAAACATGGTACCATAAGGAAAGGGGGAATAAAGGCTGTGGTCCACACACAAATAATATCCAATTAGATATAATAACTCTCCATGACAGAAAGAAAGTCAAAAACTCACAGAAACGGAAGTACAGAGGAATAGAAGAGTAAAGGTCACATCTCTAAAAGAAACATTATACTGATGGGATTGTGTAAACAAACCAACAAATCATGACCACTAGGCAATTAACAGGGCATTGAGTGTGTGGGGGTAACCAACCAGACAATCTGAATGGCTCTGTTTTGTGTAATATGAATTTACTGTAGGTAATACTATGCAAATAAATGCACGTTCTGTTTGACACACTCATGAGATGTGCCTACAGGGAATGAATGCATTTTGACAGGAAAAGCAAGTTTCCAGGACTTACGTTGACATTTCTTTACATCAAGAGCATCTCCGAAATACCCGTCAGCACACTTCTCACAGTACTGGCCTGTTGTACCTGGCTTACATTTAAGACAAGCTCCAGACAACCTGTCACAGCTGCCAGGAATGGAGAAGTCAAGGTTGTCATTACATTGGCAAGGCTGGCATAATCCCCCTGGTTTTGAAGGTTGTCCAAAATAGCCTTCTGCACACCTAGGGCGACAGACAGATCAGTTCTAGCATTTACTTCGGCCTGTTGGCATTAAGCAATGATTACAGTTTTGTCCTTAGGAATAACTAACAACAGCTGGATTTGGATACTCTGAAGCATTTCCAGACCTTCTTTCCTCATTTAAAAACAAACAAACAAACAAACAAACAATAATAATAATAACAACAGACTATAGCAAAATTACCAGCTGAAATACTGCCAGCTATGCTTTGTGTTAGATAATAATGTGGAAGGAGGGAAATAAGAAGAGGCTATGCTGTAACAAGTAAGGATGAACAAAATCATAGTCAGAAATATCATCTTTGCATTGAAGTTTACATAACACCATATAGATACCATGTACAAGGGCACAATAGCATAACTTACTTAGAAAACTGCTATTCTCCTCCGCAACATAAAAATCCCTGTTTAAGATGGAACCTAATAAACTTTGCAAACTGACAAGGAAGTAGAGTATATGCATAATAAATCTATATCTCTATTCATAATAAAGATTGTTTCTGAATTATACATGTATGCAAATGCAATGCCTTACTCTGAATATGTTTAGGATAGTAGCTAAAACTCTCTGTGGACTACTACCACAAAATAGGCATGTCTGTAATGTTTAGAAGGATAGAGGAAAATGTTAATGACCGGGTCATATGAATCCTGTTCAGTGAACAGTTTCAAAGAAGGTTGATAGGGCAGAAGACAAATGGCTCCATAAGACTATAGTCTTCATGACTTGTAATATATAACAACACACAGTTAGAAACTCAGTCCTATGCTTCTTTTGTCTTAAATTACATAGAAGCATAGAACAAAGGTTCCCATGTGGCCAATGTAATATGATTGCTGAAAGTATATTGAAACAATGCAGATTCCTCCAATTAATACTCATTATTCTCTTTGCTTATCTAATTTTGTTAGATATTTTTCTTTTTCCAT